AGGAACGCCATGGTTAACTATTGCTGTGGAGCAGTAGGAGCCTTGCAGAGTGATATATTGTTTATGGTTGGAGAGGTAAGACTGAAACCAAGAGAGAGTGATGTCGATAAGGCCGATGAGGTCTGAGAGACGGGAGAGGAGGATCGAGTGGGAAATAGTGTCAAAGGCAGCAGAGAGGTCAAGGAGGATGAGGACGGAGACAAGGCCATCATCTGCAGCAATCAGGAGGTCGTTTGTTATTTTAAATGTGACTCTGACACTGCCTCTCTTTCTCCCCCGTTCATGACCTAGAAGCTACACCAACGTAGCATATCCAGACCTCCTGTGTTCCATTAACACACATTCTGCTGTGTATATAGTATATATATTGTATGTTTTATATTGTATATAGCCATAGATTCTGTACTCTGTATAGATATCGAATTCGTCTGCACCATCAATACTAAGTCAAATTTCTTGTAAGTGCAAACCTACTTGGCAATAAATCTGATTCTGATGTTAGAGATTGAGAAAAACAGATGCTGAAGAATGGGAGAAGAGAGATAGAATTAAGCAGAACTTGCTAAGGATAACCTTAACCACTTAATATAAGCTTTATCAATAAGGAAAGTTTTAAGCCTAGCCTTAAAAGTAGACAGGGTGTCTGCTTCACGGACTAAAACTGGTAGTTGGTTCCAGAGGAGAGGAGCCTGATAACTAAGAAGAAAAGATCACACTCTCCAACACTAAAGGACCTTAAGGATGAAGGTTCCTTAGGATGAACTATCTGCTCTGTCCCTCCCTGCAGACGGCTACACAGTTGTGTCTCCAGTCTAGCTTCTTGTCCAGCTGAACACCAAGGTATTCCTACTCCTCCACCACCTCCACTTCTTCTCCCAAGATGTTGACAGGATTCATCTTGTTCCTGTTTCTTCTGAAATGTACAATCATCTCCTTGTTTTGTTGACATTCGGGATCAGATGATTGTTTCCACACCATGCCAAAAAGCGGATCACCAGCTCTCTGTACTCAGATTCTGCTCCATCTTTAATAAACCCAATGACTGCAGAGTCGCCCCAGTATTTCTGCAGATGACAGGACTCTGTCTGGTCCTGGAGGTCAGAGGTGAACAGAGTAAAAAGGAATGGATAGAGTACCGTCCCCTGTGGAGCTCCTGTGCTGCTGACTGCTTGATCAGGCAGCTGAACCTTCAGTCTAACAAACTGTGGTCAGTCAGTGATTGTTGATGCCTCCACCTGAGTCTTCTGGAGTTTCTCCCAAAGTCAGTCAGGCTGAATGGTGTTAACTGTTCTGGAGAAATCATAGATCATGATCCTCACAGAGCTGTCTGCCTTGTCTAAATAACAGTGGGTTTCTTGAAGCAGGTGTATGATGGCATCATCAACTCCATCTCCATGGCGATAAGCAAACTGCAGAGCGTCCTGATAGCTGCTAGTTTGCTTGCTGAGGTGAACCAACAGAAGTCTCTCTAGGACCTTCCTAATGTGGAATGTCAGGGCAGCAGGTCTATAGTCACTGAGGACTTTTGGCTGAGTCTTCTGTGGTCCTGGAACAAAGCAGGAGGTCTTCCTAATCACTGGAACTGTCTCCAGGGTCAGACTAAGGATGAAGAGGTGCTGCAGAATCCCACAGAGCCACCAAGGCCTTCAGGACTCTGGGGCTGACACCATCAGGACCTGGTGACTTATTACCATTCAGTCTCTCCAGTTGCCTCTTCACTTGACTTGGATTGGATGGAGAGATGATGGATGTATGGATAATGCATGTATGGATGGAAGGTGGAAGAATGATGGATGGATGAATGATGATGATGGATTGATGGATAGGTGGAGGATTTGTTATACTATATAATAAAATGACAAAATAAAAAAAAAAAAACACTTACAAAGACAGAATTATTATTTTTTTCTTTCAGAAAGTTGATTTATTCCATCAGTTTATGTTAAGTAGTCCACAGGACCCTGACTGCAAAGCTTCACATAAATTTATGATGATGTAGAGAAAAAATAATGATGGAATTTAATAAACAAAAGAAAAAACTAGGTGGGTTTTCACATTTGACACAAGTCTCACTTCTAAAAGCTTCCAATGCATTTGTTCAGTGAACAATATAAAAGTGAATAAAGCAAAATTACTTTACAAAACAAACTTATCCTACGGCTTTAGAGTTATGATCGTAAACACACACACACACACACACACACACACATCCCACCCCATGTCTCATTGGTTTCCCCATGTTGTTGTCCCTTAAATTGCATGGAGCAATTTTTCTCCTGGGTGGGGGTTACATTTACAGCATGTCATCATTCTCTCCTCCTCCATACATGTCTGCCAGTTTCTTGAAGCGGGGGCCCCATTCTTTGAGGGGCTCATAGTCCTGGTCTCCATCTTTTGAAGAATACAGTGAAGAGAGGCTCCCTGCCTTCGATTCCCCTCCTTCTGAATCGAACACCAGCAGGGAGTCAAAGGGGGGAGCAGCTAGGTCGTTATCTGCCAACTTCCGGTTCTGAAGAATGGAAGCCAAAATTTAGGAAACCTGCTTTTATGCGGATCTTCTTAATTATAAGAAAAATAAACCAAACAGGACCCAACACAATGAAAAGCTTTTCCTCTTATACTCATTTCTTCTTATGTTGTTATTTTTAGGTAAGTGTTTCACTCACATGGTCAATAAAGCTGGTCATATCTTCTTGGTTGTTAGGGAGATGTCTGTAGCTGGGCTGACTGCGTTCCATCGGAGCCACGTCACTCCTGACTTTATCAGGTCGGTTGTCCAAACCGTGGTGGATAACACTCAGATCATAGTCCTGTTAGAGTAATGGAGTATGACTGATAGGTTATATATTGGTTCCAAAAAAAAGTTAAAAAACAATCCACTGGACTTGGTTTCCAAGTTCGAAGATGTTTCGAAGCTTTTTCAATTCAAAATGTCAGAAATAGCGTTGAGTTCAAGGCTTTATACAGTAGCCCAACAAAGCCTTGTATTTGCTTAGAAAACATGCAAATTGAAACAGAAGAACGGGTCCGTCCCTTTGGCGCACCCGTTCACCTGCGATGATAGTGGGATGGAATCAACACTATTGCTGCATTATAGGTTTTTGAAAGCTGAAATCTGAGTCCAGCCCCTCTGTTTAAGGTGGGGAGAACGCAGATTTAAGCTTTCAAAAACCTACAATGGATTCCAAAGGGATGGACCTGTTCGTTTCAAACTCAATGCCATTTCTGACATTTTGAATTGAAAAAGCGAAACATCTTCAAACTTGGAAACAAAGTCCTTTTTTCCCCCCTTTTTTTTTTTGGAATGACCAAAACTATCATGACCTGGATGACTGAGAATCTTCACTGCTATATATGGGGTAACCCACAATTATACATACAAAATAAAATGTTTTAAAACATACAAAGAAATGTTTCTTACAGAGCTATCATCTTATATCTCTGTTTACCTGATCATCCTCTCCGCCTCCTTCTTCATCATAGCAAACAATCTCATCTCTGAGGTCATCTTCTGGGGGTAGCAGCGGCACCTTCTCTTTTTTTTTATTCCATCTTGAAATAAGCACCACCGCCAACACTAACAAAAGTCGAGAAGGAATCTTTAGTTAAAAAGCTCCTCAAGACCTCTTTGTCTCTTTGTATCTGTTTATCTGATCCCAGTAGGCTTACTTAAGGGCTTATTTGTCCAAAGTCATTGCCAATGTATTCAATTCAGTTTATTTCTATAGCGCCAATTCACAACACGTGTCATCTCAAGGCACTTTACAGTTCAACCAGATCACACAGTTTGATTGATTCAGAGTTTTCTATCTAAGGAAAACCAGTTGATTGAGTGGAGAGACTACCAGACACTACCAGCACTGATGTCAAAGTCGTTAGAAAGTGTGGCTGAGTGACAGGTTTATAGAATGATTTAGCAACAATGAAAAGGCTAACTGCATGCAGCAAGGCTAATGCTTTATTCTGCTTTCCCTGCCTTCTTTTTCAAATGTCAGGATCTGACCCAGCATGGATAAAGACAAGTAGGACTGATTTAAAGAACTTCTCAGAACATATTAGAATGTTTAGTCCGTGAAGTAGACACCCTGTCTACTTTTAAGGCTAGGCTTAAAACTTTCCTTTTTGATAAAGCTCATAGTTAGAGTGGTTCAGGTTATCCTGAGCTATCTCTATAGTTATGCTGCTATAGGCTTAGACCGCTGGAGGACAAAGGGACCCCTTTTTCATCACTCTGATTCACTATATCGCTATTCTCCCACTCTGCAGAATCTGTTAGTTCAATCTCTAACGTTGTGCTCTATCTGTTTTTTCTCATAGTAGCTTCATCTGGTCTCTTCCTGTTTGGATGTGACTGCTCCCATCAACACCTTTGTTATAGAGGTTGGAGCTTGGCCTTTTTTTCTGTGTAGTCCGGTTTCTCTGACTGTGACTAACTGGATGTGCTCACTTTCATCCTGACATTTGAGCTGGCTGGGAGCTCGTCTGCCTGGCTGTGTGTTTCCTGGACTGGGCCGCCTGTGGAGCTGGTTGACAGTTTACTTTTGTATCTCTTCTATCTTTGCTTCTGTCAATTGACTGTTGTTTTTAGTTGTTGACATTCGTATAAATATACTCGTGTGATACCTTAGTATACATTTGATTGTTTTTTTTTTTATATACGTCTATTTTGAAGTTATAGCTCTCCCCTGGAGGAAACCCCACCAGCCACCACTGTTTTGTACCAGGCAGATGGGTTTAATCAGCACTTTCATTCTTTTTACNTACAAAATAAAATGTTTTAAAACATACAAAGAAATGTTTCTTACAGAGCTATCATCTTATATCTCTGTTTACCTGATCATCCTCTCCGCCTCCTTCTTCATCATAGCAAACAATCTCATCTCTGAGGTCATCTTCTGGGGGTAGCAGCGGCACCTTCTCTTTTTTTTTATTCCATCTTGAAATAAGCACCACCGCCAACACTAACAAAAGTCGAGAAGGAATCTTTAGTTAAAAAGCTCCTCAAGACCTCTTTGTCTCTTTGTATCTGTTTATCTGATCCCAGTAGGCTTACTTAAGGGCTTATTTGTCCAAAGTCATTGCCAATGTATTCAATTCAGTTTATTTCTATAGCGCCAATTCACAACACGTGTCATCTCAAGGCACTTTACAGTTCAACCAGATCACACAGTTTGATTGATTCAGAGTTTTCTATCTAAGGAAAACCAGTTGATTGAGTGGAGAGACTACCAGACACTACCAGCACTGATGTCAAAGTCGTTAGAAAGTGTGGCTGAGTGACAGGTTTATAGAATGATTTAGCAACAATGAAAAGGCTAACTGCATGCAGCAAGGCTAATGCTTTATTCTGCTTTCCCTGCCTTCTTTTTCAAATGTCAGGATCTGACCCAGCATGGATAAAGACAAGTAGGACTGATTTAAAGAACTTCTCAGAACATATTAGAATGTTTAGTCCGTGAAGTAGACACCCTGTCTACTTTTAAGGCTAGGCTTAAAACTTTCCTTTTTGATAAAGCTCATAGTTAGAGTGGTTCAGGTTATCCTGAGCTATCTCTATAGTTATGCTGCTATAGGCTTAGACCGCTGGAGGACAAAGGGACCCCTTTTTCATCACTCTGATTCACTATATCGCTATTCTCCCACTCTGCAGAATCTGTTAGTTCAATCTCTAACGTTGTGCTCTATCTGTTTTTTCTCATAGTAGCTTCATCTGGTCTCTTCCTGTTTGGATGTGACTGCTCCCATCAACACCTTTGTTATAGAGGTTGGAGCTTGGCCTTTTTTTCTGTGTAGTCCGGTTTCTCTGACTGTGACTAACTGGATGTGCTCACTTTCATCCTGACATTTGAGCTGGCTGGGAGCTCGTCTGCCTGGCTGTGTGTTTCCTGGACTGGGCCGCCTGTGGAGCTGGTTGACAGTTTACTTTTGTATCTCTTCTATCTTTGCTTCTGTCAATTGACTGTTGTTTTTAGTTGTTGACATTCGTATAAATATACTCGTGTGATACCTTAGTATACATTTGATTGTTTTTTTTTTTATATACGTCTATTTTGAAGTTATAGCTCTCCCCTGGAGGAAACCCCACCAGCCACCACTGTTTTGTACCAGGCAGATGGGTTTAATCAGCACTTTCATTCTTTTTACACAGGTGTCTATACTTAAGTAAATAATGTGAATACCTGACACCTCTGCTATAGAATCACAGTCATTATCATTTTTTCTTTTTTGATTTCTGTCTGATGGATTCACAAAGCCTTTGAAAAACATTCATAACTCTTCTTTGACTCTGAAATGTCAAAGGGCTTTTCAAATTATTTGATCTTCTTGATCAGTTTCTTTTGTTGTGTAGGGCTTTAGCTTTTTATTATTATCATCATTTAGACTCAATATCACCTCATCTTGTTGGTTACTTTCTGGTTGCATTTTCTTGTTTTGTGATTAAAGTAAAACTTTTCTCCCTTTACCAGGAAGTCAAACAATATCTCCAACTAACCGATAAACAACAGTAGGACAGCCCCAAGGATCCCCAGGGTGACGGGAAGACTGGAGCTACCAGTCCGGTTTTGCATGCAGGGCTCCTCTCCGGTGCAGTCACAAACCTTAACTGCAACTGTGCTGACCTGTGACAGACCCTGGTTGTCTTCAACACTCAAGACCACCTTGTAATCTCCTCTTGGAATCTTGGTTTTTAAAGTCAGGATGATGCCCATTTCTGCAATCAAACACAAAATAAATTAATTTCAAATGTCATTCTATTGATTTTTGCAAGTTATTGTCTTCACTTTAACCCCTTAGATGGGTCTTTAGGTCCTCAAAGGGACAACAGCGAGAGTCAGAGTGAGGTTTTAATGTAAGATATGTATTTTAACACTCATTACATGGCCGTTAACTCTTTCACCAGTAGGTAAAAAAATTGTAATATAATTTTTAAGCAAGTCATGTTTTAGAGAAGAATAGACGGGAAATCTTGTAAAAAGCAAATCTGATGTTATGTTTATTGATGGGTATCCCTATGTTGTGACTCATCAGTCAGCTCTAGGACAGCCATGAGCGAAACAAACTCCCAGCTATTGCTACAAGCTGTTATCCGTGTAACAGTTTTAAAGATAGACTTTTGTTTGTGTATTTAAAGTCTAGTAGTTATCCTGATATTATCCCAGTGGGTCAGCTGACCATCGGGAGAGATACATTAAGAACCCTCAGCAAACCCACAATGGATTAATGGTTTTAAGAGTAGGCTTTAAACAGCTTTTTAGATGAAGCTCATAGAGTGGCTCAGGCTATCCTGAGGTATCTCTACAGTTATGTTGCTATGGGCTTAGGCTGCTGGAGAACATAGGGACCACTTTTCCTCACTTCCCTAATTTTACCCCTATTCTGTTTATTCTTTAATATTTATTAATTTAACTCCTAACACACGATGCAATATACATTTAGTTGAGCCAGATCATATTCAAAATAGAAGCAATCTTAACGACGAAACAGCAGGGTTTAAAAGTTTACTGCTCACACTGTGTGGCCTGTCACTCTGATGCAATCTACCGGCTCCTACTGTCCGTCTAAAAACCATGTCGGACTCAGCGCTGAGAGATGGCGCTGGTCGGACTCATCAATCTGGAAGAGGAAGAAGAACTCCCTTTTTTGCACATGCGTAGTGCTCGAGGTTCTGGTAAATGGGCTGGTAGCTCTGCTTCAATAGCAGGATTTACCCACAAACCCCTTACGACGGCTGACTGAATTTCAAACATGTTTGATTTTCTCCCGACCTTATGAGTACTGATCAGGAGGTGGTTATGAGAGGCTGATCACCCCTCATTACCCCCTGTACACTACACGACACAGGACTAGACTTGAGCTCAAAAAATTCTCGCATGACTGGAGAATCGGCTTGAAAAGGGCAAAAAATCGTACGGTGTATATGCCTGGCTCTAGGTGTGCAGGGTTGTCATACTTTAATTAAAGATAAGTATATGCAATTGGTATACATTTACATTGGTATATGGCAATACATAAAATACCAAAATTCAATTGACTGTGGTAAAATAAGGCACAGTACGTCAAACTTTGAGGCAGATGGGCTACAGCAGCAG